TACGAAACCGTGTGGAAGAAGCCGAACGACGATGCCCTTCCGAGTCAACTCAGCTAACCACAACTAAGACATAGGCAGCGAGGTTTCAATAACTTGTGAACGAGCAGAATGTCCACGAAGACACCGATGGACATAGCGGCTACGTCCACGCACGTTTTGGCGATGTAAAAATGGTGTTTCGTGCATCAGTGCATCAGGACCAAATTTCCACCGCGTTCGCCTCTCATTAGCGCAATATCATCGGCGCTATAACAAAGGCGGCGATCGTAATATGAAGTAATAATTAATTACAAAGGTATAGGCTAGGAAAATGGGTGCGTACGACATCAACGTTCAGGATGAATGCCAGGGCTGCACTTGCCAGGAGGCCAGGCGATGTACTTGCCCGGAATGCACTTGTCAGGTGTGTACTTGCTTGGAAGATTATAGTCGGCGCAGTACCCGCGACTATAGAACCCGGGAAGATAGGCAATGTATTTGCCAGGACGATTGTGACGAATATAGAACCCGTGAAGATAGGCAATGTATTTGCCAGGACGATTGTGACGAATATAGAACCCGGGAAGATAGGCAATGTATTTGCCAGGACGATTGCAGCGATTACAGAACCAGTGAAGATAGGCAATGTATTTGCCAGGACGATTGTGACGAATATAGAACCCGGGAAGATAGGCAATGTATTTGCCAGGACGATTGTAGCGATTACAGAACCCGTGAAGATAGGCAATGTATTTGCCAGGACGATTGTAGCGATTACAGAACCCGGGAAGACAGGCAATGTATTTGCCAGGACGATTGTAGCGATTACAGAACCCGGGAAGATAGGCAATGTATTTGCCAGGACGATTGCAGCGATTACAGAACCAGTGAAGACAGGCAATGTATTTGCCAGGACAATTGTAGCGATTACAGAACCCGGGAGGACAGGCAATGTATTTGCCAGGACGATTGTAGCGATTACAGAACCCGGGAAGATAGGCAATGTATTTGCCAGGACGATTGTGACGAATGTAGAACCCATGTAGATAGGCAATACGTTTGCCAGGGCGATTGTGAAGATGATAGCGCCCGTAAGTATAGGCAGGTTAGGTTCCAGGATGAGTGTAAAGATTATCGCTCTCCTAAGGATATGCAACCAAATTTCCAGGAGAATTGTGAAGATTACTGTGCCAGTAAGAATAGGCAAACCACTTCACAGGAGGAGCGTAAATATCAACGTGCACGCGGAGATAGACAAACCACTTCACCGGACCGTGGAGGTTACCGTGCACGCGTAGATAGACAAACCACTTCACCGGACCGTGGAGGTTACCGTGCACGCGTAGACAGACAAACCACTTCACCGGACCGTGGAGGTTACCGTGCACGCGTAGACAGACAAACCACTTCACCGGACCGTGAAGATTACCGTGCACGCGTAGATAGACAAACCACTTCACCGGACCGTAAAGATTACCGTGCACGCGTAGATAGACAAACCGTTTGCCAGGATGATTGTAAAGATTATCGTACTCGTGAATATAGGCAAACTATTTGCCAGGATGATTGTAAAAGTTGCCGTGCACGCGTAGATAGACAAACCACTTGTCGGGACGATTGTATAGATCACCGTGCGCGTGAATATAGACGAATTGTTTGTCAGGACGATTGTGAAGATTGTCGTTCACGCGAAGATAGGCAATGCATTTGCCAGGATGATTGTAAAAGTTGCCGTGCACGTGAATGTAGGCAATGCACTTGTCGGGACGATTGTATAGATCACCGTGGCGCCGTGAATATAGACGAATTGTTTGTCAGGACGATTGTGAGAGATTGTCGTTCACGCGAAGATAGGCAATGCATTCCAGGATGATTGTAAAAGTTGCCGTGCACGTGAATGTAGGCAATGCACTTGTCGGGACGATTGTATAGATCACCGTGCGCGTGAATATAGACGAATTGTTTGTCAGGACGATTGTGAAGATTGCCGCTCCTGTAAAGATAGGAAGCGAATTTGCTGATTGTAATGTCTGTGAAGATAAGGCAATGTATATGCCAGAATGTATTTTTCGCGACGACTATTCAGATTAAAACCTGGGAAAACAGGCAATGCATGCATGGTAATCGAAAATCGAAAATACTATCGTGGTAATTTTAATAAGCAATTTACCTGCTATTAGAATCCTACGGGTGACGGCACCATAGTCGCAGACTAGTATAATTAATCTATAATATGACCCGTCAGTTGTTATAGTCCCACGGGGTTAATTAGCTCATTCCTAATTCTACCAGTACTTCTTCCAGCATTTACCACTGCCATGAGTCTTTCCCTTACTAATATAAGTATATAGGAGTAGGTACTGTCCTATATAATGTATATATATATATATATATATATATATATATATATATATATATATGTCCTGACATAATGCATTTACAAAATTGTGTAATTGGGTTGTAATTTTTCGTAAATTTGTTAGATCATGTCTATACAAGACTTACCATAGGAAAGCTTGTCTGAAAGCCTTTTGTTGTTGAATTAGCCTCGGGTCTGTAGCTCTTTATCGACTGTATGACGATAGCAGGGTCGATTACCTTACTACAGTATAGTTAAGTGCGTTTAGGTTGATGTATTAGAAACGTGTAGTTTAATAGCTTGAAATATATGTAGTTTGATAACAAATTAAAAGACACACGTAACACAACACAACACGCCAACACAACGAAACACGCGTAGAAATATATAGAGACACCTATATTATTTCTATGGTAACACGTCACAAAGTAACAGCAACAATTGCGGCAGACCAACACCACTAATCTAATGTTCTGGTACGTTCAACTCTACCGTTACGGCTACTGATATTTCTGGTTTCATTCTGGCTACTGCAGCTGTAACTGCTACCGCAGTCTCTGCTGTGATCAGAAATTAGTGGAAGCGCGCCAAACAGTGTTAACTATGTCGTAAAAAGAATCCGAGGGAAAATGTAGTGTATGGACACTGGAAACGGCCCACCGATCACAAATATGGCAAATATGGCCTTCAAATTTTGTTATTCAGGTTTTCAATGTAAAAACCTCTCTTGGAAATTCTGGACTTTTACGGACACGTACAGGTATATACTTCATTAACTGCACTCGTTCCGCAATTGATTGTAAGCGTGAAATGTCACGATAGACCCACTATTTAGGTGTTTAGGTATATGCACAACTATTGTTGGCACATCGATAAAAAGGAGTCAAGTCCAACCTGAAGCGATAAAATGACGAAAACATATAAGGTCTTTGGACCGTTTTCTGAAAACCACAAGTTCGTCATATGCGCCTTGCAGCATTGACCCTCGTGGCTCACGTTCAAACAAATGCACGGGTTTTCACTGCGCTGCGATAAGCTGAATATATAAACTGTAGATTCTCTCCTTATCGAGTTATCATGAAGAAATAAATAAAATCTCAGTTTTCTTCTTGTAGTTGAACGGACTAATCTGTGTTGCTATTTTTGATGAAAAGATTGCCGCTAGCGCCAGTTAACTACATCAGACTACGACATACAAGGTAAAGCTATTTGATAAATATCACTATAACGGCTTAATTCAAAGCTATGAAACGTGCAAGTACGTATACTTTATTTGATTCTGCATATATCTGCTACATTAAAAAAACAATACAGGAGATAATCCTTGTTAATTTATAAGATAACACAAAAAAAGAAAAGTTTTCACATCTTTGACTAGTTGTCATCAACACTTTGTACAAAGGATCCAGAGTATCCTTGAAGAAGGCCGGACAATCGCACGTTTAATGGGTTTAGTTCACATGTACTTCCAAACCACACTAAGCATTGTCAGTGGCGCAAGGACTCTGTGCTATCTGTATGTAGACTGAACACACTGCAAGACTAACGCCAATGCACAAGGTCTTGTATGGCCATTTCTTGGAGCTAGGTAATTGGCATATGCATTACAGTGTGACTATATACTGACAGGCAAGACTGGTTAATTCCAAATTACAAATCTCCCCTCCCCTCCATTCGGATAAATAAACGTGAACAATGCAGTGCATTACACACCTACGATAATATTACATAAATGTATTACACCAATCACAAATGAATCTGACACATACAAACACCCAATATCAGATATATAGTTTATGTCACCATAATAAATGTACATTCAAAATAACAAGTGCCGCAGAGCGACACCGCTCAACTGACTGTACTGTAGCCGGATATTCTTTTGATAAACTCACTGGCAACCGAATCAAGTGCGCCCTCCTGCCACCGCGTTGATAGGCTTTGCTATACCGGTAGTACAGTAATAAAGATATAGCTGTGTAGCTTTAATGACTTGGCTATATTAACGTTATCATGGATATGCGTCGAGCGCCAGCGTAGGTGGTGGTGGGGGAGGGGGGGGGGAAAGGGGGCTCTAATAGCAAAAGCAGTTCAGTCCTTTGTTAACAGTCAACAAATCCATGTTTAACCCTC